CACTCAGTGAGCAGCTATTGCTTCCAACGCCTGGGGAGCCATTAGGAGTTAGGTGCATTGCTCAGGGTTATCGAAGATAGAGAGATTGCGGTTCATTCACTCCTCTATCTTCAACTCATGCCATTTAAAGAATTGAACCTACAATCTTTCGATTACAAGTCAAACTTCCTAACCAACAATGGTCCCCAAAAGCACCACTTATAGCAGGGCTACTCAATTGGTGGCCCACGGACCTTATCCGGCCCCCGAAGCACTTTGTTCTGGCCCTCCAAACAGTGTGACCAAGACATCAAAAATAAATTTAGTTCAATAGACAAACAGCCACTATAGTTATAAAGTTACGAGCGTCTGTTGAACATGCTGCAGTTGAAGCCTGCACAAGCGTAAGTCATCATAAGCGAGTGGTGCGGGCAGACGAAAACATGTTTGTAGAAAAGGCTATTTGTACAATGCACTGATATCGTTAATAGGGATGCAACGATTAGCCGATTTCACTATGAACTGTGCTTCAATTCGTCACACTTTATTAAACGTAGTCTTCTGTTGCACGGAACGAAACGAAACCACTGCAAAATGCCAAGTTGCCTGTGCTCTAATTTTAAGTTTGAAGTACACCGAGGCTAATACTCACTCACACTGGATTAACTATAGCAGCGGCCGTTCCCATATCACGTCTTTTCCGCTTGCAAGTTTGTTATTTCTAATGTAAGAATATATGACAATATGTGGGCGCCAGCGGAGCGACACACTTGCGTCTTTTCGGGCGCACGCAGTAGAAAACATCTCACGGTGAGAGTTGTGCGTGATCTTTCAGTGCAATGTAAACAAAAGATATGTTAGACGAATTATTATTAAAATGATTATGTATGCATGAACGCAGATGACAAAACAGTTAATCTAAATAGCTACTTACCTAATATAAAGCTTGAATTTACATTAGATGTTCTAACAGTGAAAGCATGATTATTCTCCCGACAATATAATTGTACAACCAAAATCTATAATTGTTGCATCCCTAATTGTTATGCAGTTCAAAACATAACATATGTGTCTGAATGTTAAAGAAGCCTACTTAAGCAATGCACTGCTTTTGTTGTGCACTAAAATACATTTGAATGTTTGTAAAAAAAAAAAAAGTCTATTGTACAATGCACTGATATTATGTACAGTAGTTTCAAAATACAATATATTAACATTTTAATGTAGAAAAAGCTAACGTGGCTGTCTTAAGGAGCAAAAATATACAGCATGTGGGCCCAAATATGCTGTTGTGTCATCACTCATATAGCAAGTTATGTCTCTCCGGCCCTTCGTTTGGGATGCTTTTCATGAACCGGCCCCCATGACAAACTAATTAAATAGCCCTGACTTATAGTGTTCAGTGTGGCAATGTGTCCAATTAGCACCATCTGGTGTATTAAGGAAGTTGCTTGAGTGTTATTTTTCAATACTCTTTCCATTTTCTGGCTATATCATAATTAGAGTATTTATTTATTTATTTATTTTTTTTACTCTTTTTGGTTATTAGTGTTACTGTTGTCTTTCTCTCAGCTCACTTCTCAGTCTCCTCCACTTTAGTGTAAACAAGGCATGTTCATCATCAGAACTGCTGTTCATTGGCAGTGCTGTAAAGTAATTAATTACAAATACTCAGATTACTGTACTTGAGCGCTTTTTCTCATGAACTGTAATTTACTAGGTATAAATGTGTACTTTAACTTTGGCTTGAGTACATTTTTAGTGCAGTATCGGTACTTTTGCTCCACTACTTTCCTTCAACCTGCAGTCTCTACTTTATTTTTTCTTGTCTTTGAGGATTAGAAAATTCTGTCCTGTGATACCTGTCCAATCAAATCTCACATAGAAGGTAAATCGCCTCATAATGAACTACCTCAAGACATTGGCGGTTCTTAATTGCAGCAAACTGTTTGGAAGCATTAAAAGTGCCCAAGAAAATGTCCAAAATCTTTACACGCATTGACCCAGAGACTGTTTAGATCAGGGGTCTCAAACTCAATTTACCTGGGGGCCGCAGGAGGCAAAGTCTGGGTGAGGCTGGGCCGCATAAGGGATTTCACAAAAAAAAGTCCTCAAATGTCATTATTAACAGTTTTAATTATTTCTTCTGAACATGAAGTGTCCTGAACATTAATAGAACATTGAGTGAAGATTATGAACAGTTCTTCTGAACATGGCATCTTTTGCCTACTTCTTGCTGCCAGAGACTTGACAGCGCTTCTTTTCACAAATCTGAACCACATTTGGCTTTAGAGCGGAAGCAGTTGAGACCCTCAGTATGGCTTGAAGATGATCATCATTAAGTCTAGACCTGTACTTTGACTTATTGAAGTCCTAGGGAAAAAAGTGGGGGAACTTACTCAAAACTTCCATTCCCTCACCTAAAAAAAAGGTGTATATGTGTATAAATAAAACACCCCCACCCCACTCCAGTCACATCAGTCTGTACCAGTCTGTATCTACCTATAATATCAATATATATAAGATGCAGGGCAGGCACGTGCACACATAGGGCTCAACCTGTGCAGAGCACATGCCCTTTTTAGTCTTGCATAGAAAGTGCCCTTCCAAAATGATCAAAAGTGCCCCCGCGACGCGACACAGCCTCGGTCCCGCCCTTCAGTAGGCGTGCGATAACACCGCTCTTGAGTACGCGCGCGATCAGCTGATCAGAACGCGCGCATTGAGTGACAAGCGCACTGTGTACGGATAGAATCAGCGGAGCGGGGAGCGCTCTCTCTCCCGCTCTGCTGATTCTGTCAGAGTACAGCGGTCGGCGCGGGCCACAAAATATTGCACTGAGGGCCGCAAATGGCCCGCGGGCCGCGAGTTTGAGACCCCTGGTTTAGATGCATGTCACTCAAGGGGGCATAGATTCACTCTTGACATTGGGAGGGACACACATCCCTAGAAATGCATAGCACAAATAGTTTTTGCGCCTTTAAAACACGAATAAAGTACTTAATAATTTTAAATAAACCATACAAATAACAATTTATGAATCATGTTATGTGTATGAATGAAGAGAAGTATGAATGAAGAGAAATTTAGAGATGTGTGTGACGCAATTTAACAGATTTATTCTGAATATTGTTTTTCATAATCATCGAGGCTAAAAGCAAACTTGACTTTGACCCTTTGTGCACAAATATATTACTAAGGGTAGACGGACCATTGTTTTATTTTGAAGTCGATTAAATTATTGGTAATGACATTTCAGTAATTGGTGGATATTGGTGGAGACATGTCAACACCATCCATGCCAATTCTATGCCTTTCATGTCAATAATGAGAAGATGGCGGATGTTTACGCTGGATGTTTACTATATGACCGAAACGGCCTTAAACACCCAGCAGGCACAAGACGTCAACATTACATTAGATTGATGCTGTACCGCAACGTTACAGACGTTGCGTTTTGTTTGGAAATAAAAGTCTGGTTGACGTGAGAACTCAACGTCAGACCAATGACAAAGTAAAATCAACCAAATATCAGCGTCTAATGATGTTACAGCTTGACGTTGTGTGGACCCTACCACTATGACATCTATTAGACGTTGGATTTTGGTTGCCATACCTGAAGAGTAAATGTCAGTATTTGATGTCAACATGACGTTGGTTTAAGATTTTGGTCTCTTTTTAACAACCTAAAATAAACCAAATATCAACAATTATTATTGGACATCAAAGCAACGTTGTCAATAGATGCTGGCTAGACATTGAATTTCAGTCACCTGACTTCACAACCTAAATCTGACCTAATATTAACACCTTATAACGTTGTGTGCCTGCTGGGCAATAACTTGATGCACTACAGAATGTTACGTTTACACACACATACACAAATTACATGTAAATGCACCAGCTTTCAACAGCGTAATACTCACTACTCTTGAGGACTTTTGAAAGGGCTACTTTTTACTCGTACGTTGAGTATTATTTACAACAGATGCTTTTACTTGCACTACATTTTAGGCAAGTAGTGGTACTTTAACTTGAGTGATTTTTCAGTACTCTTTCCACCACTGTTCATTGGATATTTTCTCTTTTTCAGACCATTCTCTGTAAACCCTGGAGATGACCATATGTGAAACTTCCAGAAGATCAAGATCAATCAAGAGCCAAACCAAATTGTACGCCATTTTGAGGCTTGGTTTGAACTTCAGATCATCTTGACTGTCTACAATGTACTGTTTCTGGAATGGCTGATTAACCACAATGAAGAGACCGGTAACAGACCTACAGTTCACGCACAATAACCTTCTGCTGAACATATTATTATTATTATGAGGAAAAATAAATGTTTCTCAACATTTCCGGTTGACATGGATTAAAATGCTAGTAACATTTCTATGTCCAGCTCAAGCACGTAGTCTAATGAGTGTCTGAAAATAGTACGCTACCAACTTAACCACTGTGCAAGTAAATTGTAAATGATCTTATGTTTATTAGTCAGCATTGCTGACTTTGTAATCTAGAGGATCGTGTTAAGTCAAAGCAGGGGGAGCACTTTTCTGAAGCACAACAAATAAGTAAAGGTTTAAGAAACTGGATCACTACAATGGTAGACATTGACCAGTATTCTCCGAAATCATAAATAACACTCAAAGTTTTTTTTAGTTATATCCATAAAAGGAACAGCAAATGTGACAAACACAAAAACAAGTGTTATCCTCCAACCCTGGCATGTTAATCGATCCATTTGACACCCGGATGACTCCTGGCAGCTCCTAACTGATTCTGTTCATCATCCGGCGTGACCTAATTTTTCCTGTTAATGTAATTAAACCAACATCTGGAAATTTTGTTATTCTCCTTCCTCTATTTTAAGCTGTGTAGTTGGCAGACATCAGAAGTGGATATTTCAAGGGGCTGGCAAACCGACTGTGTTTAGTGCCTTACCATAACGAGTGGAGACGTCTGATGATGCCAGGCTTATATACCATACTCGACCGCGGCTCTTCTGCTAGTGATCTGATTCCCTCAGACATTCTTCTTTCAGGACTGCACTGCTGCTGCTGACTTTCTCATTTAGGTGAGGAGAATGCCTGCGCTTTATACATTGACTCTACTTTGTCTCCTCAATAGATGCTCACATTTTTTGTGGATTTTGTTCATGGCGAAAATACTTTTGACTTATGACTTTTAGTCTTTTGTTATTATATATATATATATATATATATATATATATATATATATATATATATATATATATATATATATATATATATATATATATATATATACATACAGTTAAGGTCAGAATTATTAGCCTCCTTCGAATTTTTTCTATATATATATATATATAGAGAGATATTAGAAATTTTCACAGTATGTCTGATAATATTTTTTCTTCTAGAGAAAGTCTTATTTGTTTTATTTAGGCTAGAATAAAAGCAGTTTTTAATTTTTTAAACACCATTTTAGGGAAATTATTTGCCCCTTTAAGGTATATTTTTTCTTGATAACCTACAGAACAAACCACTGTTATACAATAACTTGCCTAATTACCCTAACCTGCCTAGCTGGCCTAATTAGCCTAGTTAAGCCTTTAAATGTCACTTAAAGCTGTATAGAAGTGTCTAAATAATATTTGATTAGATATTTTTAACTCTCATCATAGCAAAGATAAAATAAATTAGTTATTAGAAATGAATTATTAAAACTAATATGTTTAGAAATGTGTTGAATTTTTTTTTTCTCTCTGTTAAACAGAAATTGTGGAAAAAATAAACAAGCTCTCTAATAATTCAGGGAGGCTAATAATTCTGACATCAACTGTGTGTGTGTGTGTATATATATATAACATATTGCTTATTAAAGAGAGTTTTAGCATACTTTTAGAGTTTTGTTTAATCTGCTAAGTTATGATAATTGATAATCTTGCAATGCATGTTTGACAGGCAAAATAGGATGAGCTTGGGACAAAAATGTTATAATAAATCACTGCACGACATGCCAATCAGGTGGTGACAGAACTGTATGTGTAATGTGTGTATTGTTTATAGCATTAATGCATTGTGAATGCCCATTTAGATACCTCTGTTGACCCAGGCATACTGTAGCATGTGTTATAAATGTGTGAGGCATCTGAATGCCCCAAAATATGATCTCTGGGATTTATACAGCTGTCTGCAGGCAGGGTTTCAGATTGGTTGTATTGTTGGCATCTGCATAGATTATTCCAGAAGCAGAGAGACTAGGATACTGGATATCATTGAGGGGTGTTGGGGGAGAAGTTTGCACCCTGTCGTTGAGGATCATATGAACAGACTTTCAAAAACGCAACCAATAGCTGGCTTCAAATTAGGAATGCAGGAAATATAGCCTGCTAAGAAAAATTATTAGTCAACTTGTAAAATTATCATCTTTTTAAAATATTTAACTATTGATATTTAATGGGGAAAGGAACATTTCACAGTGTTTTATAATGTTGTATTTCTTCTGTAGAAAGTCTAGTTGTTTTAGTTTGGCCAGATTAAATTTATTTTTTAAATTTTTTGTTATTTATTATTTTTTAAACTAGTTTTAGGTCACTATTATTAGCCCCCCCTTATTCAGGAAATATTATAAGTGAAATGTTTCAAAAGGTGACTTCTGGAGCAATTTTACAATATTTATCTTCAATCAAACTAAAATATTTTACATGGCTGTTTTTAGTGTTGTTACTACGTGTATGTTTTTTGTGTGTGCGTGTGTGCGTGTGTGCGTGTGTGTGTGCGTGTGTGCGTGTGTGCGTGTGTGCGTGTGTGCGTGTGTGCGTGTGTGTGTGTGTGTGTGTGTGTGTGTGTGTTTTTCGATGCATGATTGTTAAGAAACTGATACGATTATATATTGTATATTTTGCCATGAATATAGCCAATGCTATATATATGATATGGCATTAAAACATAAATGAATAAATACATTATTTGCCCCCTTAAGAAATGTTTAATTGTTTGATCGTCCAGTAATTTGTATAATTAACCTAACTTGTTTAGTTAACGTAGTATTTACCTAATTAGGTTAACTAAACAAGTTAATTAGACAAGCCTTTAAATGTCACTTTAAAGTGAATACTAGTATCTTGATAAATAACTGAAACATATTGTGTCATCATGGCAAAGATAAATGAATTAATCATAAGAAATTAATTATTAAAACTAATATTTTTAAAAATGTGTTTTAAAAAATCTCCTTTAAAAGCTTATTTTTTAATATATGTTTTAAGAATTTAAATTTTAAAGTATGGTTTATAATTTGGACTTCAACTGTATAATAACTTTGTATCAAGCAATTAATGCCATAAATATTTTTTTTGCTTTGTTTTTAAAAAGTAACCATAAAATTTGTTTAATCTAGGGTGCTTTAATAATTAGATTTATTGATTTATTTTTTGCTCTGTACAGGAGTGAAGAAAACCGGTCGCCAAGATGTCTGAGTGAGTATATGAATATACATAATTCATATAAAATATAATTGAAGTCTGAGTCTGTTTTTGTTTTGCTAATCTGTAATTCATTCACTTTCCTATTGCAGAAAAAAGATGACATCGAGCCGTAGGCACCATCTCAAGGTACAGTAGAAGATAATATAATATAATATAATATAATATAATATAATATAATATAATATAATATAATATAATATAATATAATATAATATAATATGATATGATAATATAATATAATATAATATAATATAATATAATATAATATGATATAATATAATACAATATAATATAATATAATATAATATAATATAATATAATATAATATAATATAATATAATATAATATAAACTAAAATATAAAATATAATATAATATATGAGCAATATCACATGAGTAGCAGTGTGATATGGCTATATATCGGCACTGGTGGGAAGCGTGCGTTGGATCGAGGCCGCACGCCGAGTGCCTTAGTGCCGATATACAGCCATATCGCACTGCTACGAGTGTGATATTGCGTTTATACAACAGTTTGACGGCATAATTGTGTATATAAAAACAAAATTAAACATGGATAGTCTCAAAACCTTTTTTTTTATGAGGAACTACTTTCTTCCGGATTCAAATCATAAGCTGACAGTTAAACAGCCGAGGAAGCATCTATTAAACTTTAGCTCTGTAGTGTCTGCTTTTTGATGGCTGTATGTGGGCGGAGTAATACACAATGGGTAAAGAGGCTGTACGGGTGCTGTTATTACTTATAAATATATCAGCCAATCAGATTTGAGAACCAGACAGAACTGTTGTATAAAATATAATATAATATAATATAATATGATGTATAATATAATGTATAATGTATAATATATAATATAATATAATATAATATAATATAATATAATATAATATAATATAATATAATATAATATAATATAATATAATATAATATAATATAATATAATACAATATGTTTTTAAATTCAGGATAAAATCAGCATCAGTTTTAATTAAACTAAATAGTTTTTTCCCAATATGTTAAAAAATCACATTTATCATCTCATATAACAGTATATATACAATCATTTTCTGTAAGTTCACTCAGCTAATAGTTTATTGTCCATATGGAAAAGTGTACCGCATTTTAATTCTTACATTTTAAAGGATAACCTCAAAACAGCTCTCATACATTTATTTTTCTTAATTTATTTTGGAATGTTTTTGATTAACAGTGTAGAAACAAATATTCATGAAATTAAAACGCCAATTACAGGATCAACATAAATTATTGCTAAATAAAATGCAAAAGGTAAACACTGAACACTCAATTTATTTATGTCTTTGAATTACATTTCGGCCCCCTTTATGTCTCCTCCAAAATCGTTTGATGTCAGTACTGCCAGTACTTTCCCTGTTATCTTACGAACTTAATTAACAATATTAATTTTTAGAAAATATATTGTTTGGTATGCTAAAATGTAAATGTAAAAGTGCAGATTTTAATTTTACACATTAAAAGCCCTCAGAAAAGAGATCAATGTCCCTTTCATTTAAAATCCTAAATACTTATTTTGTATTCTAATTGATTAACAGATATTTTGTACAGTGTACTTTTTTGGTTCGTGTGTTTATAATGATTAATAAAATAACCAAAGACAATGGGACAAGCAAAGACAACTTAAATAATAAGACAATGTAGTAAGAAAAAAAATAAAAAAGAAACTGCTGATAACTTAAAATATACATCCATTAACTACTAAAAAGTGGGAAAAAGCACGCCTGACAACATTTTAAGCGAAAGTATGTTTTGATTAATTAGAGTTCAGCTTAACTGTAAGTCTGCAGTCATTTGTTAATATATACCTATAAATATACAAGGACAATCACATTTGACAACCATTACTGTAAATCTGAAGAATCTCATTTTTAGCATTTTAGCTGAGAGTCACTGCCTTTTCCAACCTGCTGTACATTTTTTTCTTATAATATATACACCTACTTCTGTCTGTGGTGTTATTCTTGCTTCTGCCTGGAAGGTTGCACTCATCTATGATGAAATAATGTAATATGCGACAACCCAAAATAAACAACAGAACATACTAGGAGACAATCAACGTTCTATTTCATCTATACAATACGTGTTATATTAGACTTGAATGCATTTAAAGGGCACCTACGGTCAAAAATCTACTTTTCAAGCATGTGTAGACATATGTGAAGGCATAGTGTATAGACCATCGAATTGGTGTGATGTAAACACACACAGTCCTTTTTTTCAATTTAACAACATAAAAACGGTGGACCAATTGGAGCGGTTTTTAGATCGACCGCAACTTGACGTAGGACTGCGGTCCCCCCTCCTACCAATATTGATTGACAGCCGCGCGTCACCATATACTCAGTTTATTGTTTCATGTCTGCCATTTTCAGCGCGAGAGTCAAAGGGAACACCCTTGCTCTATTTTTAAATGTAAGGCTTAAAGCTAATTATAACATTCACCACATGATCGCTGTAATCGGAATTATTGTTTGTAACTTTGTTTGTTAAGAAGGTTTGCAACCATGTTTACTTTTCATTGCGTCTACCTTAAACTTCAGTCATTTTTTCTTGCGGTCACAGTAGCTCCCTGTGATCTTATCTAGGTGCAGCTGGAAAGTGTGAGCTTTCTGTCAGGGTACACACAGTGGCGCTTCCAGGCAGCGGCTGTCCGCGGCGCCCAGCCACGATTCGGGACACTTCATATTTAGCACCATCTGAATAGTTTTATTTTAAATAACATGCATATGTGCAAGTCTGGTGTTCCGTGTCGTGGCTCTGAGCGGCACATCTGGTGCCTCAGTCAAAGTTAATTCAGTGTGCGTGGTTATTAGTCTCGGTGTACAAGCTCGGCTCTATAAACTAGCACACAGTTGGCTGTAAAACTTTACAAAGACACAAAAGATTTTGTACTCTCTGCTTGGTCTGTGTCCGAGTCGTACATGTATGGCTGAAAGCTGGTCTTCTCACTCATGTTGCTTCTCTCTGTCTGCCTGTTTGTTGCCAAACACAGAGCAGGGGAGCTCTTGGCTCCGCCACCTTGTTATGCTGGGCAGGAAGTCGAAACTTATTTTCATATAAAGTAACACGCCCCTAAAACAGCGACTTGTGTACACGCCCCCAAAATAACCCTTTTGAACACATCATAATAAAAAGATCTGAACTGTGTTTTGAACTGAACCTAAACTGGCACACTCAGAAGAACCATAATATTAATATTAAATCCTAAAAAAAAGGGGTAAACTACAGTATGTGCCCTTTAAAGGGACAGTTCACCCAGAAATGAAAATTGACTTTAGTTACTCATTCTCAACTGGTTCCAAACTGGTTTCCAGTCACATGCCGGTTGGAGTTTCTTTCTTTTGTTGAGCACAATGAGAAGAACAATTTGATGTTTTAAAGAATGTAACCGCTAAGAATGGGCGAAGCAGTTTCGCAGAAGGTAGTGCTGTCGTCTCACAGCAAGAAGGTCGCTTGTTCAACCCTCGGCTCAGTTGGCGTTTCTGTGTGGAGTTTGCATGTTCCCCAACAGTCCAAAGACATGCGGTACAGGTGAATCTGGTAGGCTAAATTGTCCGTTGTGTATGTGAATCTGTGTGTGGATGTTTCCCAGAGATGGGTTGCAGCTGGAAGGGCATCCGCTGTGTAGAAACTTGCTGGATAAGTTGGCGGTTCATTCCGCTGTGGCGACCCTGGATTAATAAAGGGACTAAGCCGACAAGAAAATGAATGAATGAACCGCTAATGATGAAATCGGCAATCATTGACATCCATAGCAGGAAGAACAGATACTATGAAAGTAAATAGTAACTGGTTGCGAACATTTTTCAAAATATCTCTATTCGTGTTCGACAAAAGAAAGAAACTCAAACAAGTAACGGATGTATTCCTGTAGCGTGAGCTATCACTTTAAATCTTGAGTTGTTTAAATTAAACCATTAGGACTTTTCCTCAAATGATGATTTGTATGATGAGAATGTTGCGACTCCTAAAAGCATCTGCAGCCGTATATTATGTAGCAAAACATTTCATGGTAAGGCTTAACGAGAAAAAACCCTCCTGTTTTAAATGGAAATACATTGACAAAGGAAGTTTTACATGTCAGTTGATTGCATTGGGTCTCTATAGTATTGTCTGTTGTCTGACCTTATCAGTTTTCATCCTTATTTGTGTAAAGATATGAGCACAATACTTTAATGCTGTGATGGTGAATCCAACTCTTATATTGTTCCACAGAGTTTGGTGTTGAGCATCACAAAAGGCCTTCTGGAGAAGGAAGTTGTGGATACCGCTGCGGCCAAAGAGGCTTACATGGCAGAAAACTGCGCTCCTCTGTCCATGCCCTCCTCTACACAGGATCTGCAGGTCTGCTGCTTCAGAAATACACTGAACATCATTTTACATTCGATCGCTGGAAATGTATGTTCTTTACATTTTGGCTGAAAAATGTTTAATAATAATAATAATAATAATAATAATAAATATTTTAACTAATATTTCATTTTATTTCAGCCACATTTTCCCTTTTCAAATATAAATTAAAAAAACGATTTTTTAAAGACAAAAAATACACTGAACATCATTTTACATTCGATCACTGGAAATGTATGTTCTTTACATTTTGGCTGAAAAATGTTTAATAATAATAATAATAATAATAATAATAATAATAATAATAATAAATATTTTAACTAATATTTCATTTTATTTCAGCCACATTTTCCCTTTTCAAATATAAATAAAAAAAAACGAATTTTTAAAGACAAAATATCTATGATTAAATTATATATATATATATATATATATATACATACTGTATACAGTTGAAGTCAGAATTATTAGCCCCCTTTTTAATTTTATTTTCTTTTTTAAATATTTCCCAAATTATGTGTAACAGTGCAAGGAAATTTTCACAGTATGTCTGATAATATTTTTTCTTCTGGACAAATTAATTAATTTTGGCTAGAATAAAAGCAGTTATACATTTTTAAACACTATTTTTAGGACAAAATTATTAGCGCCTTTAAGCTAAATTTTTTTCCGACTGTCTACAGAACAAACCATCGGTTTACAATAACTTGCCTAATTACCCTAACCTGCCTAGTTAACCTAATTAACCTAGTTAAGCCTTTAAATGTCACTTTAAGCTGTATAGAAGTATCTTGAAAAAATATCTAGTCAAATATTATTTACTGTCATCATGACAAAGATCAAATAAATCAGTTATTAAAGATGAGTTATTAAAACTATTATGTTTAGAAATGTGTTGAAAAAAATCTGCTCTCCATTAAACAGAAATTGGGGTAAAAATAAACAGGGGGGCTAATAAGTCAGACTTCAAATGTATATACACATTATAGCTCAACATAATTGAATACACCCTATTTAAAAAAAAAAAAATGAAGATTTTTTTCCATTTCTCAGTGAATATAGGTCATATATTTTGGTGCTTTCAAACAAAACAGATTTGTTAAACAGATATATTTATTAAAATAATATTTTTGTCACCAACTATATTTGAAAGATAAACAGAAAGATAATATGTTTAAATTAATGCAAAATATTGCAAAAAAAAAAAGAAAAATACTAAATTTCAACTACATTTTATTTATTTTATGTCTTCTTTATTTTTGTTTTTTAAAAGTACATTTATTCAATATTTTCCACTAACATTTAAATTTGGGCTTCTAATTTTTGGACCATTATTACAAGTTATTTTGTTAGATTAGCTCTAGATTAATCGGTAATGAGTCCGTCTAAACCGTCCTGTTTTAAAATGTTGATGTTGACTGAACACTTTTCTATTGTTATTCAGTGCAAACGCACTAGACCAGGGGTGGCCAACCCTGTTCCTGGAGAGCCACCTTCCTGCAGATTTCAGTTGCTACCCATATCAAACACACCTGAACCAATTATGAAGAACTGAACACCATGTGATAATTACAGGCAAGTGTGTTTGATATGGGTTGCAACTGAAATCTGCAGGAAGGTGGCTCTTCAGGAACAGGGTTGGCCACCACTGCACTAGACGGACATGCATAAGTTCATGAGTAGTAAAGAATGGCTTATACTGCATACTTTTAAAAACCTTTTAGCAAAAGATGGTTAGAAAACAGAGGTTTACACTTTCTAAAATCATCATTTAGGAGCTGTGCAAGAAACTTCACCAGCAAATCGACAAAGTTGATGAGGAGAGATATGACTTGGAGTCTAAAGTGGGCAAAGCAGCTAAAGAGGTAAATTCTGACAACATAAATATGCTTAATCTAACATTACTGATGAGGATTTCTGTTGAAGCTGTATATTAGGATGTCCAATTCTGTCTTTAGATTGAGGATCTGAAAATCAAGGTGGTCGACCTGCAGGGCAAGTTCAAGAAGCCTGCCCTGAAGAAAGTGCGTTTGTCAGCCGATCAGATGCTTCAGGCTCTGCTGGGCTCCAAACACAAGGTGTCTCTGGACCTGAGAGCGAACCTGAAACAAGTCAAGAAGGAGGTCAAAGAGGAGGTGAGTGAAATAAGAGACTGCTGTGAAGATAAAATCTATAAAAGCTACAGTCAAATAAAATGATTTACTGAAGACACCCACTAAATTGTCACACACTGTAACAAGTATGCGAAAAGGTCCTGACAAAAATAAAAAGAATAGCAATGACGATAGGGGACAGTGTAGGCCCAATATACTAATTTGAATCTTTATACTTTGTCACGTTCCTTGTTTTGTTTTTGCAAATCTAAAATAAACATTAAATATATCAATTAAATTGTAAATGTGTAATGTATAATTCACACATCTATTGTTAACATTTGAATAGACACTTAAAGTGCCATGAAACCCCCTCGTTTTAGCAGGGTGTTTTCACACCTCTACTTTGGAAAAAGTCAGAAAAGTGGGCGTGTCTAGCTCTGTTTAGGTGGGAGTGTCGGAGGAAGAAAAGTGGGATGGTGTGGGAGTGTCTATTTAAGCACGCGCGAGTTTCAGAGTCAAAATACTCACACACACACAGGAGAAAGTGATGGTGTTTAACCTACATGGACATCTGTAGTCGAATTATTTGGCAAATTATTAAATGGTGGACTTTAACTGCAGTTTGGCTCTTTCATTCAGAGAATTCATTCATGTTCCTCGCGACAAACGAGATATTTGATTCGAGGAACTGCTCTAAGCGAATGAGAGAAAAAAAAACTCAGCATTTCCCGGAAACTTAGACGCACACGGCAGGTAGCGTCAGAAAGCCACGTGTGTTATTCCGGTCACAAAATGCGGTGAAAATCCTACACAAGGTTAAAGTTTGGTTGTGGTGCTAACATGTTTACACTCGGTGCAATAGTTAGTTCGATACGAACAAACTGAATAAACAAAGAGCACTGGTCACTCACTTACCAAATCTGTAGAGAAAGGACAATCACCAGCAACTAGAGCCGCGTCTTTATTTAGAGGAGACTACAAGCGAATCCGGATCTCAGCGTTTGCAGATGAGAACAGCTCTCAGGTAAACAATAATCCTCCTTAGACACGTAAGTTATTGTTGTCGAGCGTCGCGTACACTGTTAATCCACACGTGAGTCTGCGCTCTCACGGAGAGAAAATAAAAATGAAACTTAACTGCAGCAAACTATAAAAGCAACACTTCACGCTTGTTTTGCCAACACAACGTGGCGTCTCTGCCATCTACACTCTGGCAGTAATGAATATTAATGAAGTTGCACAATAGAGCGCGCTGATTGGTTTGAACCAAGCCTTACTCATGCATTAATGCAGCACACTCTGAGACGTAATAAGACTCACTCTGGCACAGACGCCCAGTCTGCATGCTGGAATACACGCTATTATGTCATGACCGTGACGCAGCTTCAAAAATTCGTTTCAAACCGGAAGTACGAATTTGCTTGAAATAACGCAAAAACAACCAATTTACACTTTTTAGTGAAATATAGGTGTCCTAATAGTGTTTTTAGCAGTGTGGGACACATATACGACTGTCAACAGCTCAAAAAAATGTGTTTTGGTGTTTCGTGACCCTTTATTAATACACTTTTATATCTCTTTGTACATTTTATTTCTGATGTGGACACCAAAACTGCACAGTCTGTGTTTGACCCATGTTTAAATGTTTGTTTGTTCTTCACACTCAATCCTTTTCTCATAACGCAGGCTGCAGATGTCGGCGACTGGCGTAAGAACATTGAGGACAAGGCTGGTATGGGTGGCAGAAAGAAGATGTTTGAAGGCGAAGCCGCCTAAATTCCTGGACATTTCTTTAATTAGTTGTTGTAGGAATTCTACAGAGCTGCGCATTCACTGATCTTTTTTTTTTATTTTGCAATAGTTTTGTCTTCTCTGCTTTCAGTGCCTCAATTAAGCATTTGTTGTATGCAGCATGCACATCCTGAAAAAGAACTGTGTGTCATCAAAGAGCCACTACCATTAAATCAATGCTTTTGAGGAAAATCTCTCTACGCTTTTTATTTATTAATTAATTACATTTGTTGGGGGTTCAATCAATTTTCGTGTAATTTGTCTAATTTAAATGTCACTGAATTAATACATTTAAATAAATGATTGATTAAAAATGTAATGTAACTTTTTAATAACATAATTGACCATTTTAAATGATGGATTTAATTAATTTAACTCAAATTTAAGTTTAATAATTTTATTTGAATCCAATTTAATTTAAGTTAATTTTATTATATTTTATTTTATTTTATGCTAATTTAATTTAATTAAAGTTTAATAAACATTTAATTTAACTTAATTTAACTCAAATTTCATTTAATTTGAGTTAATTTAATTTAATTTAATTCAAATTTTATTGAATTTAATTAAAATTTTATTTAATATAATTGAAGTTTAATAAAAAATAATAAAAAGCTTATTTAATTTATTAATTTTATTACATTATATTGTATGCTAATTTAAGTAAAGTTTAATAAACATTTAATCTAACTTAATTTAATTCAAATTTATTTTAATTTAATTTAAGTTGAATAAAAAATGTATTTAATTAAAATTTTATAGAATTTTATTCAAGTTTCATTTATTTAAATTCAAATTCAGTTCAGTAAATTCAATAAACATTTAATTTAACTTAATTAAAATTTAATGGTTTAATAAAAATTGTATTTAATTCAAGTTTAATTAAATTTAAGTTAATTTAATTACATTTTATTTTATTCAAGTTTAATTTAATTTATTTCAATTTTTATTTAATTTAATTAAAGTTAAATAAAATGATTTAATAATACAATTTTTGATTAATTAAAGTTAATTTTGTTATATTTTATTTCATTTTATGCAAATGTAACTAAATTCAAATTTGATTGAATTTAAGTTTAATAAAATTTTTATTTAATTAAAGTTTAACAAAATTTAATTTTAATTAAACTTAAAAAAATAATTTTATTAAAATAATCCAAATTTAATTTAATTTATTGAACTTAATGTAATTCAACACACATTATTTTAGTTTAGGTTATTTTTATGTTTTTATTTATGTTCAATTTAATTTAATTAAAATTTTACTTAATAAAGGTTTAATAAACATTTAATTTATTAAAATAAACATATACTTTTCTTAATTTACTAATTAAAGTTTAATTTAATGCCATCATTCTAGACACTAAAGCAAGGTCACCTTGCAAAATAAACATTAATATACATTATAAACAAACATCATAAATAAATAAAGCCATAAATACAAAAAAGCTCACAGTACGACTTTAATAATATAGGCATACACATCATTTACTTATAATTGAATTACTAGATCAAAACAATGGATTAAATTAATTGATTTAAATCAACTGAACGTGTTTTTCCCACATAACATCTGGAAGAAGAAATGCTTTATGGTGAGTAATATTTGCTCTTTATCTCTCTGCTTTGTTTGATCTGGTGTGTATCTTGGTGTGTAAAGCTTTGCTGCATTTTCAGCGCCCACATATGCATCTTGAAGGAAAGGAAATTTATGAGTCTTGCCGAGGAAGGACTCGGGATATTTCAGGAGCTCAACAGTCTATTGGTCTGGACTGGAATCCACTTCCATAAAGAGGACTCCTAAGATCTGCTGAGCCATCAGCGCACAACATATATATCCTATTTAATTTTTCTCTCTCTGGGGCTCACCAGTCTTTCCAGTTCTTCTTCCACGTGTGTCCTGCCCTCTTCTTCTCTCATAGGTGAGCGTCAATCCACAACTCTCTCTAGATCTGTGTATAAAGACGCGTCTGTGGGTGTAAACACAGATGCTACATATCTTGTTCTATGTACTGTTTTTTTTTTTTTTTTTTGCATCCACTTTGTGTTCAGACATATTTTTCATGAATATTCATGAGCAGATAAAATATGTTAAATATGTTGACATTACATTTTGACTGCTGTTACCTCTATTTTAGAAAGTAGTTTGTTTATTTTGTGTTTGTTAATTGAAACGGTTCCTTAAATATTCTGTTCTAATCTGCTCTAATTGACATGCCTCAGAGAGGAACTGCTGCTCATTTAAATATTCTAATTATTCTAAATCTGTTCTAATTGATTTGATTTCATTCAATATGGGCTGCTCATTAATATTCATGAGCAGAATAAGCAGTATGCAGTTATTAATAACCTAAAATGTCTTTATTAAGAGAAAAGTACGTTAAACTCTTATCTATTATTTCTTCAACAACTAAAACTGAAATATATATTGAAATATTATATTTTAATCAGTTCTAGGTGATAGCTGTGTTGAAACATTGTTCATTAATATTCATGAGCAGATAGAATATGTTGTTTTTTTAAGAGCTATGAAGGACTAAAATATGTTTTGCTGTTGAAATATACAAAAAAATCAAAGCTTTGTGTATTTTTAATGGTTATATGAATTTTTATGTATGCGGTGAAAGGAAATTATACAGTTAAAGTCAGAATTATTAGCCCCACTTTAAGTTTTTTCTTCCTTTTTTTAAATATTTAAATATTTCCCAAATGATGTTTAACAGAGCAAGGAAATTTTCACAGTATGTCTGATAATATTTTTTCTTCTAGAAAAGGTATTATTTGTTTTATTTTGGCTAGAATAAAAGCAGTTTTAAATTTTTTAAGCACCATTTTAAGGTCAAAATTATCAGCCCTATACTATATATTTTTTAATAATCTACAGAACAAACCATCGTTACACAATAACTTGCCTAATTACCCTAACCTGCCTAGTTAACCTGATTAACCTGGTTAAGCCTTTAAATGTCACTTAGTATTTATATATATTTTTATAGAAGTGTCTTGAAAAATATTTAGTAAAATATTATGTACTGTCATTATGGCAAAGATAAAATAAATCAGTTATTAGAAATGAGTTATTAAAACTATTATGTTTATAAATGTGTTGAAAAAAAATCTGCTCTCCGTTAAAGAGAAATTGGGGAACAAATAAACAGGAAGGCAAATAATTCAGGGGGGCTAATAATTTTGACCTCAACTGTATATGCATTTTAACCACACTTGTTATTTTAGCTTTGTTTCATAAAAATGAAAACTAGATCTATTAAGAAAGCACATTATGTAAATGTTTTTTCTTCTCCTGAAAAATTACATTAAAAAATTCAACTGCTGTAATCCATTTCATAAAATTGAACGAATATGCTAATGATTGCAGCCTTAAATTGACAAATTTGATCACAAACTAATATAATAATGAAATCCTCTGTTTTTTTTTTAATTGGATGTGTGTAATGGCCTCTGAATAGAGCGGCTGAACTCTGGTATCATGTTTAATGACCTCTGGACCGGTACTTGAAAAGTCAAGTGTCAGATGAACATCTCAAAGTTTTGGGCTAAAGTTAGCCTCCCTGAAGGCGTCCCTCCTTTAATTTATTACCGCTTCTGTTTAAAACGACGTGAAAGTGCTTGTCCTGAATTAGCTGATAAACTCAACTGCCTTGTGAGTCCTAGATGACTAAAGACTGATTTCTGTCCATTTCAGGGTGTGACCGCACTGAACCGCCAAGATGTCAGAGTAAGTATTCAGATGTTTTGTAATGTGTTTTTATTAGTTTGTTTGATGATGTTTGTTTTTAACAGAACGTCTGAATAGAATTGCACCAACAAGGATGAATCTACTTTGTCTAATAATTCTTTTCCACCAAACTTTTAATCTTGTTTTAAAATAAGCAGCCTTAAAACCGTCAGTTTAATCTTAGATTTAATTCTGCAATAAATCTGGCGTAACTATAATCTTGCTGCTCCATCAGATGTCAGTTTCAGCTAAGGTTTAACGTATTATTGAGGAGGGTTAAACTGTAAAAATGGTTACTTTACATAAAAATAGGACACTTACTTTACATAAAAAAGTAAGGAATATTTACTTTACATAAAAAAAATTTGGACACCTTTGTAACTCGAACTCCTAAGTCTTCTCTTAAGTCGACTTGAGCTCTCAAGTCGTACTTATAAGTTCACTCAAAAAATAATGTTTGCTGTTTGACGCCCTAAAGTGAGCTGAGGCAACATAATTCTTGAGGTTTTTTTTTTTTTTTGGAACAACTTTTTTTTTTTTTACGTTCAATCCACTTAAATTTTATGAAAGCTAATAAGTTAACTTAAATCCTTCATGTTGTCCCAACAGAAATCAATTGTATGGAAAACAGCATTTTTTTTTAAAGTGTTCACTGTAAAATGTAATTAGTTACTTAAAGGCAATTGCCTTAAAAGCAGCAAGTTGACTTTACAAAAATAATGGAAGTAAACCCATTGTTACTTGGAACTGTTAAGCTGACTTAATTTTTATAATTGTGCTTGTTGTACTCACTTTTTTAAGTCAACTAATGCTTTTTTTACAGCGTCAGACTATTTTAGCATATCTGTTTTCAAATAATTACTGTAATTATTACAATATTACATACTTGGTGCTTTATTAAGTTTATAAAATCTACTATTATAGCCTGTATTGAATTTAGAAGACACACTGGAGTCTGGAAGAACAGATTTATTTTAGTTACTGTCATTTTGCTAGATACAGAAAAGCTGAAAAAAACCCTCCCCAAATATAATAAATGTGTATGGGAAAAAGTGATTAGTTTACTTTTATTTTAAAAAGTGCATATGATTTGCATAATAATAAAAAATAAGTCAACTTAACATTTCCAAGTTACAACGGGTTTACTTTACTTTTGTAAAGTCAACTTGTTTCCTGTGAAGGCAATTGGTTTACTCGCTTTAAGTATCTAATCACTTTTTACAGTGTATTGATCGTTTACTTAATAATTTGAAAGCGTCAGGTTTACTCGCTCATTTAAGTAAAGACAACAAATCACTTTAAAAGCAATGGGTTTACTTACTTTTTAAAGTGAAGTCAACTAATTTGTCAAGTTTAAGGTGTAAGGATTCCCAAAATGGCAGCGCTTTTTTGGTGTACACTGAAAACCCTTATAAGTTGACTGAACGAAATTAATTGAGTAAACTCGTTGCCTCAA